CGGCCGCCTTGGTGAAAGACAAGTGCGCTAGATATTCATATACATGTAGTAAATCATAAAATGTGTTACCGTTTTGTTGCCGTCATTAATGTTCCTTTGGTATAAGTAATGTCATGTTTACTAAGCCATTGCTGAAATTTAGTAATGACTGTAATACACGTTGTAGGTGAAAAGTAGGATTGTAGGAATGGTAATAGTTGGAGTCCCGGTCTTCTGCCACAGTCAAAAACCAATGGGAATGTCGTGTAGGTGGTAAAGTTCTTATTCCTGATGCAGTTAGAGCCCAAATAATAGTTATGAAATAAGATTGAACAAGATAACGTTACAAATATGACATGTACAAAGCCATATTGGATCTTGACGTTTCGCTGCTAAGAACATACATTTGTACAGATAACATATTTATGCTGGCATGAAAACAAGCTTGACCTCTATTTACATGGTTAGGTTGTTATCTATAGCTGTTGACCAGTGGTTAAATAGTACGCTTAGCTTACACATAATACATGTGTAGGTGTGCCCAGTGGTTCCTCCGAGTTTTAAGTTACGGCAAACGATGTATTTGAGATTGTTTTGCTTAACGACCTTGACTGCGAGCCTTAACTCTGTCAACCAACCTCACTGTTGGTCACGTTCGTCTGTGTGTAATAAATATGATGATGTACTCCACGTGACCATGAAATAGAAGGATGGAGTCTTGATTTGGTTGATCTCATGTGGTGCTGTTCAAAGTAACTTGATCTTGAAAATTGTCTCAAGTCTAACCCAATTCGTCACCTCGTATTATCGACAATATCAGGATTAAATCCTCAGTGGCGCCGTGTAGCATACATGTATGCTTGTATGCTCAAGCATACACATTGAAAACCATGAAGGTTTATGTAGAATTCTAAATCAAAAACTACTTTGTGAAGTACAAAATTTAATAGTATTCATATAAAAAGTCGAGTTTTACTTGTAAATAATCAGACTAAAAGGATTTCCCAAAATACGAGAGATTGCCTCTAGGGCCTAGTAGAATTCTTTTTTTTTCTTCCCCTATACCTCCCCCTCCTCGGACGCTCGACCCCCTGTAAGCATACACCACGGAAAATGATTTGCTTTCCCACTGATCCTTAAGGATCTCTTTACTACTGCCATAACATGTACCTTAGTTTTGAAAGCTCTTTTTTTCCGGTATTACTATACCATTGATAAATCATTTCTGAGAATAATGCCATACATGATACGGCGGGACTTAAACACATTATACTCAACAACAGTGTTCCGGGTGTAAAATAGAGCGGTGCTAGACCCATAGTCGATCCCTGGACTTCAGTTTGTTACACTGTCGCTTTAACCGATTGAGGTACCGTGTACGTGTCCAAGCGGAAGTTAAGGGGAGGTTACTGCATACAGGGTATAGGAAAAAACACAGCGCAGTGGCACAGGGCTCCTTAAGTGGAATAATGATTCGTAGATATCAAAGTCGGTTAAAAAACAAGCAGGAAATAGATTTGAAATGAATCAATAAAATTGAACTTTATTAAACAAAGTCCATGAACGAAGTCCAACAGTTCTAATCTTCCTTTGATATTAAAAAAATCATCAGGAGGAAACAACGCCATTCCAACCGGGACAAACACAGAACAAGCCTTAGTTTCGTATTTATTTGTTTCGTTTTCACTATAATTTCCGATGTGGTTTACACCGATACGGTTCGATCTCGTTCTGCGTAGTATACCATCCAGTACGTGATGTATACAGAGAGAATCTACATACGATATACTTCTATAATTGTTGACTAAACTAACCTCATAACATGCGACGTTAACATAAACAAACTAAATTTGATTGGATCTACAGAATAACAGTTCTATATATATATACAACAATATCAACAACAACAGCAGCAACAACAACAGCAGCAGCAACAACAACAGAACACGTCTACATCTGTCTGTGTCCCCCGCGGAACCAACCCGGGCTGTATTGACGCCATCTAACACCACCATATATACATTATATGATAAAAAAAAGAATCTCCAACTCGTTCATATTTCATCGGAGTAATGAAATCATTGAAATCCTTAAAATTCGGATGTAGTGGACACCCGTTATAGATCCTCTATATCTCTCATTTAGTTTACATGATACGTTGCTCTGTTTGAAGACTACCATATTTGGTGAAACTACCAGTATCTTAGATATGTTTCATTGTTTTACAGGACCTGCTGGTGAATGGGGTACATGTATGTTAATAGTAGTTTTAACTAGGTATACGGCGTTGTTTAACTAGGTGTACGGCGTTGTTTAACTAGGTATATGGCGTTGTTTAACTAGGTGTATGGCGTTGTTTTGTTTAACAAGAAGTATGGCGTTGTTTAACTAGGTGTACGGCGTTGTTTAACTAGGTGTACGGCGTTGTTTAACTAGGTGTATGGCGTTGTTTTGTTTAACAAGGTGTATGGCGTTGTTTAACTAGGTGTATGGCGTTGTTTAACTAGGTGTATGGCGTTGTTTAACTAGGTGTATGGCGTTGTTTAACTAGGTGTATGGCGTTGTTTAACTAGGTGTATGGCGTTGTTTAACTAGGTGTATGGCGTTGTTTAACTAGGTGTATGGCGTTGTTTAACTAGGTGTATGGCGTTGTTTAACTAGGTGTATGGCGTTGTTTAACTAGGTGTATGGCGTTGTTTAACTAGGTGTATGGCGTTGTTTAACTAGGTGTATGGCGTTGTTTAACTAGGTGTATGGCGTTGTTTAACTAGGTGTATGGCGTTGTTTAACTAGGTGTATGGCGTTGTTTAACTAGGTGTATGGCGTTGTTTAACTAGGTGTATGGCGTTGTTTAACTAGGTGTATGGCGTTGTTTAACTAGGTGTATGGCGTTGTTTAACTAGGTGTATGGCGTTGTTTAACTAGGTGTATGGCGTTGTTTAACTAGGTGTATGGCGTTGTTTAACTAGGTGTATGGCGTTGTTTAACTAGGTGTATGGCGTTGTTTAACTAGGTGTATGGCGTTGTTTAACTAGGTGTATGGCGTTGTTTAACTAGGTGTATGGCGTTGTTTAACTAGGTGTATGGCGTTGTTTAACTAGGTGTATGGCGTTGTTTAACTAGGTGTATGGCGTTGTTTAACTAGGTGTATGGCGTTGTTTAACTAGGTGTATGGCGTTGTTTAACTAGGTGTATGGCGTTGTTTAACTAGGTGTATGGCGTTGTTTAACTAGGTGTATGGCGTTGTTTAACTAGGTGTATGGCGTTGTTTAACTAGGTGTATGGCGTTGTTTAACTAGGTGTATGGCGTTGTTTAACTAGGTGTATGGCGTTGTTTAACTAGGTGTATGGCGTTGTTTAACTAGGTGTATGGCGTTGTTTAACTAGGTGTATGGCGTTGTTTAACTAGGTGTATGGCGTTGTTTAACTAGGTGTATGGCGTTGTTTAACTAGGTGTATGGCGTTGTTTAACTAGGTGTATGGCGTTGTTTAACTAGGTGTATGGCGTTGTTTAACTAGGTGTATGGCGTTGTTTAACTAGGTGTATGGCGTTGTTTAACTAGGTGTATGGCGTTGTTTAACTAGGTGTATGGCGTTGTTTAACTAGGTGTATGGCGTTGTTTAACTAGGTGTATGGCGTTGTTTAACTAGGTGTATGGCGTTGTTTAACTAGGTGTATGGCGTTGTTTAACTAGGTGTATGGCGTTGTTTAACTAGGTGTATGGCGTTGTTTAACTAGGTGTATGGCGTTGTTTAACTAGGTGTATGGCGTTGTTTAACTAGGTGTATGGCGTTGTTTAACTAGGTGTATGGCGTTGTTTAACTAGGTGTATGGCGTTGTTTAACTAGGTGTATGGCGTTGTTTAACTAGGTGTATGGCGTTGTTTAACTAGGTGTATGGCGTTGTTTAACTAGGTGTATGGCGTTGTTTAACTAGGTGTATGGCGTTGTTTAACTAGGTGTATGGCGTTGTTTAACTAGGTGTATGGCGTTGTTTAACTAGGTGTATGGCGTTGTTTAACTAGGTGTATGGCGTTGTTTAACTAGGTGTATGGCGTTGTTTAACTAGGTGTATGGCGTTGTTTAACTAGGTGTATGGCGTTGTTTAACTAGGTGTATGGCGTTGTTTAACTAGGTGTATGGCGTTGTTTAACTAGGTGTATGGCGTTGTTTAACTAGGTGTATGGCGTTGTTTAACTAGGTGTATGGCGTTGTTTAACTAGGTGTATGGCGTTGTTTAACTAGGTGTATGGCGTTGTTTAACTAGGTGTATGGCGTTGTTTAACTAGGTGTATGGCGTTGTTTAACTAGGTGTATGGCGTTGTTTAACTAGGTGTATGGCGTTGTTTAACTAGGTGTATGGCGTTGTTTAACTAGGTGTATGGCGTTGTTTAACTAGGTGTATGGCGTTGTTTAACTAGGTGTATGGCGTTGTTTAACTAGGTGTATGGCGTTGTTTAACTAGGTGTATGGCGTTGTTTAACTAGGTGTATGGCGTTGTTTAACTAGGTGTATGGCGTTGTTTAACTAGGTGTATGGCGTTGTTTAACTAGGTGTATGGCGTTGTTTAACTAGGTGTATGGCGTTGTTTAACTAGGTGTATGGCGTTGTTTAACTAGGTGTATGGCGTTGTTTAACTAGGTGTATGGCGTTGTTTAACTAGGTGTATGGCGTTGTTTAACTAGGTGTATGGCGTTGTTTAACTAGGTGTATGGCGTTGTTTAACTAGGTGTATGGCGTTGTTTAACTAGGTGTATGGCGTTGTTTAACTAGGTGTATGGCGTTGTTTAACTAGGTGTATGGCGTTGTTTAACTAGGTGTATGGCGTTGTTTAACTAGGTGTATGGCGTTGTTTAACTAGGTGTATGGCGTTGTTTAACTAGGTGTATGGCGTTGTTTAACTAGGTGTATGGCGTTGTTTAACTAGGTGTATGGCGTTGTTTAACTAGGTGTATGGCGTTGTTTAACTACGTGTATGGCGTTGTTTAACTACGTGTATGGCGTTGTTTAACAAGGTGTATGGCGTTGTTTAACTAGGTGTATGGCGTTGTTTAACTAGGTGTATGGCGTCGTTTAACTAGGTGTATGGCGTTGTTATGGCGGACTATGTCGGCATGAGATGGTTCTGCGAGGAAAGGAATATAAACAAAAAGGAAACATGACATAAGACATAACAAAAAGGCAGTTTTAAAGCGGAACAGTTACTGAAAATCACTCCTTATTTACGAGATACTTATCTTCGTGGACTTTGCAGAGAGGCAAATTGCTACTTCAAAAAGCTCGCGAATATTTAGACAAGTGATCTATACGTTGTCGTTTATTTCGCAAATTAATATCTTAGTGAAAAGAAAAGTCGTGAAAATAGGTACAGATAAAATAGGTACACATGAAAATAAAGTGATTTCCAGTAACCACAGTCATATCTCACTCGACACAACTGTGTAGTTGATGGGAACTTCAAGACTCCACACATCATCCCGACAGACTTCCTTTAACTGGACGGAATATTGAAGAATACGTCACTTTTTATATACACACATACACTCTACATATAATATCCCTGATCCAACTTGAGAACAATATCGCCATGTTCATAACTATTGAACCTGCATACAGGACTTGTTTTTGTATCAACAATGAGTTTTAACAGTCACGAAATATATACGAAATGGACTGAAACGCTCAATTGTGTAATGAACCCCGTTGAGTGGTAACATAAACCTAGGCTATAAGATAGGGGTGAACCCCTTTAAGTGGTAGCATGAACCTAGGCTATAAGATAGGGGCGAATCCCTTTGAGTGGTAGCATAAACCTAGGCTATAAGATAGGGGCCCCCCCCTTTGAGTGGTAGCATGAACCTAGGCTATAAGATAGGGGCGAATCCCTTGCAGTGTTAGCATGAACCTAGACGATATGATAGAGGCGAACTGTTCATTGCATGTACAAGCAGAGGAAAGCCCTAATACTTTACTGCTGAGGAAAGGCATGTCATCAATATCGGGGTGGTGATGAACTGCAGACTACGAGATTATAAGAATACATGTAGTTTGAATACAGGAAGGACATCGATACCTGTCTGGCATATTCTTTAAACTTTCACAGAACGCTGTATATATTGACATGAAAGTGACATACTTCTTTGTGTACCATGTTTTCTATGAAGATTTGCACATGAACTGGAGAACAACGAACGGTTATGTCATGACGTATCCATACCTGAGCACTCGCCCTAAAAGGAATGGTGATCCCCAACATGTAACAGAACATTCCCGGATGGCGCCCTAATGGAAACAAGCACGAGGTGAGGGCGCCATCTAGTGAATACATGTACATCTCCTTAAACAATTAAACAAACACACGAGATATCCAAAGTTCTATAGGGGCGCAGCAGTAATTGTTTTATCACAGTTTGATATAAATATAACCGGACAAAATATTATAACGAAATATAAACAATTGCTTTGAAAAATCTAATTTGAAAATAATATATAAAGGTCAGTTGATAATAAACTATGTGTAATTAACGATTCCTAATAAACGAAACTAAAGTTCTTCCATCTGTGTTTGATGCCCTCCCGTTTTTGCAGCTCCATGCGCTGGGCGTGTATCGTTTCCGAGATCCACTCCTGATGGATAGTGAAGGTGGCGGGACGTCTGGGGATAGTGTTGTAAAAGAAGGTATCCATGTTTTCCATCTTGACCTTTGGACCGTCCCGCTCGATCTCTGGTTCCGGGACAGTCACGTAGTACGGCAGACGCTTGGATAGTGTCTTCTTCCTGTAACACGAACATTAATACGTGAGTGGTAGTATTAAACTCCGCCTCGTGTTGTATCGACCTGTATCCTATACCTTTGTGACGTCACGTGGAAGCAATATGATGACGTAACCAAGGTATTGGTACACAGATCAACATATCACAATACATTTGCAGCAGGTGGACAAATAGTATTTTGTCTAGACACTGTAATGCTTTAATTTTCACAAAAATAAGAAAACGTTACACATAGATTACCCATGGCCATAACACATCATTACCATTCCCAAAATTATAAGTTCTTATATTACGTCAAACATAGTTAATGTACCTTGTTTTCTTTTAAAATTATAGTTATTATGTTACGTGCATACACTAATACCACACGAGGACTTAGTTACCATAGAAACGCTTATACAAATAATCAACACATATTAAACCAGAGTTCCCCGTATAGTTAAACACAGGTATGACATAATAGGTGATACTGACATCGCGTGTTAAGGACCACCATTAGTGATAGAGGATTTGCGAGCATCACAGCCGGAAGTATGATAGCTTTCTGTTCTAGATCTTTCGTTATATAAATGGCTTATTTCGCTTTGAAACATGTTGGTGGTTCTGAACATGAAATGTCAGTTTTAAAGGCGATGAACTTCACAAGATCAAGCAAGAAAAGGACGAACCCAAAACTATTTTAAATCACACCTGTTAATAAAACAGACCAAACCGTAGAAATCCAAATACCTACCAGCCATACAAACAAAACATGCCATTCGAAACCATTTAGTAAAACACACACACATTAAGCTGATTACTGACATATTGTTGTTAAACAAAATAATATCAGAATATGTTAGAAATTAGTTAAATTAACTGTAAAAAAAGAAGCGGTTATAATGAGAAAACGTGGGAAAATACAAAATGGTTACACAATATCTACAGAATATAGCAGGTATAGGTTCATGCATGATAAACGGTAGGTATGTAAGTGATGTTACGATAGTGTATAGGTAGGATGCTATGAGGCTAGCGGATGGGAGGCGTTATATACAGCAGCTAGCTAGGGCACTGTCTTACTTTAATTTGTATGGATCCCCATGAACTTCGAACCTCCACCCGTATTCTTTGACATTTTTGTCATAAATTTCCGCCGTGGTAGGGCGGCAAGTAGGTTCTTCCGGTATGTAATATACTTCCGGGGCAGGTGATGAGGGGGGCACGGGCACACTGCCCTCCTTCGGTATATGGGCCTGATACACCTCCACAGGTGAGCGAGTTGGCCCAGCTGACTTGACTGGGCGCTTAGGCGCCTGCGCTCGGTCACGTCGCATCACAGCACTCTTAATTCTGTCTCGTCGCGCCTGTTTCTGTTCCTCCTTTGGTGTTTCTTCTTTAGGTGGATAAGGGGTAGGGGTCGGTAAAGTCTGAGAGCTGGGCGTTTCCCCAGCCTCCGTCTCCGACACACTGCTGGTAGCCCAGCATTGGAGGGGTGTGGGAAGCTCTAAACGAGCAACCCTTTTAAAATTATATAGAGGTGCACTCTTTGCACGCACCTGCAGTCCGGAATCCCGACCGGATTTAGACGACGTACTGGACGTCGGTCTGTGTTTAGTCGGCGTCGGCGTCGGTTGGTACGGTTTTGGTGTTCGAGGAGATGGTGGGTTGGGCGCCGTGTAATATTTACTGTCCCGGAACTTGTACATCGCCTCCAATTCTGTAACGAAACACACATAGATAATATCGTTTGTAGCACCATGAAAGTTGTCACTATATTAGGCGGCACATAAAGGCAATGAATAAAAACTATTAGGATTTTATTATTCAACTTCTCTTTAAGCAGGGAAACGTTGTTCTGATAACAATTATCTCCAATAACTATAACAAAATTCTCAACTCTAAGCCAGTGTGGCTACATGGATGTATATATATAGCGTTATTTACCATATGCTGAGGGCACGCCCAGTCTCCTCTCCGTGTACACATCCCGTACAGCCGGGTACCATCCGTACGTGTGTTCCTTCATCCCGGGATGTTCGGGCAGCTCGGGCAGAGAAAATCTGTAACACATAACAAAGGATCACTTGTAAAACTATCACATAGAACACTTACAACACATGCTTAGCATTAGCTTCAAAGGATAGAATACCAAACCTAGTTTGTATAACTTATCAGCAAACTTACAACACACACTTCTCATAAGCTTATCAAGAATACCAAACGTAGCTTGTAAGGATAGAATACCATAGGTAACTTGTAAGGATAGGATATCAAACGTAGCTTGTAAGGATAGAATACTAAACGTAGCTTGTAAGGATATAATACCAAACGTAGCTTGTATGGATAGAATACCAAACGTAGCTTGTAAGTATAGAATACCAAACGTAGCTTGTAAGGATAGAATACCAAACGTAGCTGGTAAGGATAGAATACCAAACGTAGCTGGTAAGGATAGAATACCAAACGTAGCTTGTAAGGATATAATACCAAACGTAGCTTGTAAGGATAGCATACCAAAGGTAGCTTGTAAGGATAGCATACCAAACGTAGCTTGTAATGATAGAATACCAAACGTAGCTTGTAAGGATAGAATACCAAACGTAGCTTGTAAGACTTACTGTAAATAAACCTACAACACATATTAAACGACAGCTTGTATGACATGTTATTGGGTAGGGAAATTCACCACGCCTTAGCATAAGTCTTGAAACTACACAGGATTGAACACTTTCTAATATAAGGATTTTTGTGATATTTATCAGTCTTTGATATTTGTGATGATCAGTACTTTAGTGCTTGTATACAACTCTGTACATTCAGTTAGATTCCCCCTGTAATATTGCTCAACTGAGGGGGAAAAGCTAACAAAATATGTACTCGTGAACGACCTTGACCCTATAGTGTCCCCTATCAGATCGGATTTGTCATGACTGGGTAACTTAATCGAACACATCGATCCAAAAGTTCATTGTCCTTTGAGAGGACGTCTAATATCATAAACATTATTCTACAGTCAAATTTCAACTGTTTTTGATCGCGTGTTTGAAATTTGATCACTTTGTTTATGAAAATGAACATCAGCATGGTTTAAAAAATCATGTATTTTCTCAAATCTCAAATTCGCACCACGGCAGAAAAAAAGGCATAACACTGCGCCCCTACCCAAGTTACGACTAGAAACGGTTTTAATTTTACTGGGGGTGAAAGGGGAAATAAACACCATGGAAATTGATCGTTTTACCGATTCCTGTCCGACATGATCCGGCCCCGGATTATGTGATCATCGATAAGTCACAGACGCCGTTAACGTCACTGGTTTCTCTATAAACAACAGATGGTAGGTATACAAAACAAATACCTTATCATAATCTAATCGAAATTTAACGGGTATTTCACCCACTAGTTTGCTACCGTGGGCGGCTTCTATCCGACCACTCTATCCTATTACTACATATACCAGAAATCAACGGGAAAGTCAAAGCTTTTTAATACAAATCAGTCTTACACTGTACGTAAATACAGAAATTTCGTCATCAATAACATATCAGTTCAAAACTGTACGTAATTACAGGCCAGTTGTTAAAAGTTAATAATTACAGTAAAGTTGTAAAATGTTCGTAATTACAGGTCAGTCGTAAAATGTACGTAGCTACAGGTAAGTTGTAAAAATGTACGTTATAACAGGTAAGTTGAAAAAAACCGTGCGTAATTACAGGTAAGTTGTAAAATGTACGTAATTACAGATTAGTTGTAAAACGTGCATGATTACAGTTAAGTTGTAATAATATGCGTATAATGTAATTACAGGCCAGTCGTAAAATGTGCGTAATTACAGGTCAGTCGTAAAATGTGCGTAATTATAGGTCAGTCGTAAAATGTACGTAAGTACAGGTTATTCGTAAAATGTGCGAATTATAGGTCAGTCGTAAAATATTTGTCAATACAGGTAGGTCGTACAATTACGTAATTACAGGTAAGTTGTACATGCACAAAATAGTAACAACCTTATCACGGTTGGTAATTGTAGTTAGAATCCATTAACAACCACAGATTATTTCTATGACATTTGTAGTCGAAACATTAATTGATCTATGGTAATAACTGAACGAGTGTAATTTGAGACTTATGTCACACTTTGTGACTCTAAATTATATAGGTATAAAACATTATGACTAAATGAGTGTATGTTAAACAAAAACAAATAATAATCTATTTACGCTACTTCTCCGAATTCCCACGGCGATGCCATATTTATATCCACCGGATGTAAAGGGATGTCTCCGCTACTTATTTCATATATAACGTTCCTACGAAAACACTTTGAAATTTTTAAACATCCATCTTTTATGAAATAAAAACACAACTTATGTCCCCAGCGCGGAGCAGGAGAATGAGATAAGTGTTATATCTATATAATCGTAGTGCCCAAACAAGGTAGACTGAAAAACATTTTTTAAATTCATGATTTTTAATTAAACTTGATGCGATTGTAAAACTCCACACGTGTGCATTCACCATATTACAGGATGTCACTCAGGGCTGTGTTCCCGCGTCTGTGACGTCCACATATCTATTAAATAGATTTTGAAATTGTCGATATCTACACAATGGGTATCAACTAGTGTTTGGTTCATTCGCGCTTCTATTGTTTAGTGCTATATTCCATCAAGCACACGAGTACTGTGTATGTGGTTTGTAAGAGCAATCGCCATTTCACCCTAACAAGAAATATTATATTATCTCCTCCGGGATCTCATACCAAAGTTCTGTGATAACATCACTCAGACTGATAAACATCGGACGGTCAATTATAGCACCGGGTAATTAGGCACGTTTAATTACCAAGAGTTTAATTAGTATATAATAACTGTTTGATATTTGTTTCGGAGCTGAGGGGGTGGTCTGATCACATGCTTTATTTTTGGATTCCGTGGGATTTGAAAAAAGAAAACACAACAAAAATGTACATACATTAAATATTTTATCAGATCACATTGATAATAAATTATCATGTAACTTACTCTATCATTATGTTTTTCTTGACACTATACACCACCAAATCAGTATACATACTATATGTATAATATATAATGTGATGGTCAATAGTCGCTTGTATTTCTCGGCCAGCCGATTTCATGCCGCGGTGTCTTGAGTTCGGACCCGGATAGGGGCACGCGTACGAGTCATACATGAATTGTTTTCCTCGATCCGTAATGTGTGTTTCAGCGTTTCTAATAAGTGTATGTTGATTCGAAGGTTTAAGATAGGAACTTGCTGTCACAATTGTACTTCATGTGATGTACATTCTCTTAAAATCTCGCGAGAATTCTCGATAATCACTCATTTCTATGACTTTAAAATCAAAGTACACTCGTCTTTAAAACTGTATGCTCCCCATAGATTTCAAACACGACCACAACCCAGAACACAATTACTGTCCGTGTAATCATTGTGAAATCAACTCTCATACCTGGTATATAATGGTTATTACGTGTAATTGAGCTAACTGTTCGATTGTTCTCAGTAAGCGAGAGTCGACTGAATTCATATATGACCCACAAACAAACCCCATGAGGTGATGTTACGTACTTAGTTTACACTGATTTTTCTTCCTGTGATACAAAAGCATGAACAGAATTAAGGAACTAGCATAAACACGACGGTGATGGAGCGAGAACGCGTTTTCGACGTTAGGTTTGTAATTTGGCCCTAAACCGGCCACCATAATAAACACTTATACAAAATCTGTTTCATTAAACTACGCACTTGTCTGATATTTCAAAGGATTCAAGGGCCTATAGTTTGCTAAACGTACAACTATTTTTTTTTTCACTTCAAATGAATATTGATGGTTATGTAAATCATCTCGAACTTCATGTATTATTTCAGAGTAGTCTGGTCATCAAGGCGTTATATATTGAATACATTCCGTTGGACTTATTAAAAGTCAAGTTCAGAAAACCGTTCCATTCAATTTGTATGATTGTGGCCACGAAGGGTGAGAGTCCGAACTGGGCCAGAAAGAACACCGATTATTATAATGTAATATTTCTTTAGCTCGTAACAAGTCCATTGTCCCTTTAATGGTTATGACGGTAGCCTCCACCCATGTTTAATGTAAACAAACCAAGACAGCACCAGTGTAGGACTTTACATTGGCATAACCTCAAGTGTATGAGCACAAGATCAATACACAACGGAATGGTAAGATAAATCGATTAATAATATATATCATATACGAGTTTATCTGTGGCAGTCCTGTGTTTCTAGGGTCAGCACCCAGGGTCAATGGGGCGACTAACAGTGCCGGATACCGCTCACCGCCACAACGGACCCATGCTTAAATATCGCCTGAATGACATTTTTGTCGATTTCACAAATGAAATATATTCTATAGATGTAGCTAAATCAAACTGGAGTTAAACGTGACTTGGATAGTATCGGCAATCAATAAGAAAAACGTTAGGGCAGAATATATTACTCTCACCTTCATACTTCAATAAGTACGGGATTTAAACGCCTGAACGAAATAAAAATTCTTACTACAAACAAACGTTCTCGACAAAGAGTTGCAAACGGTACGCAAACGATGTGGGGAAGTTATCGACACTTTGTTAAGTTTAAATATGACTTTAAGACTCAGATAATTATATTAGTGTCAAAATGTTTCTGTATAAACCTAAATGTACACATTTTAAAAGGTGGAGAAGTAAACCTTTCGTAACGGAGAGAGGTTCACGAACAGGATATAATCGACATATTTTTCTGTATCATATGTAATTTCATGTTTTCCATTTGGTGTTCGTGTCAGACTATTCTCCGTCGCATATGTACAAAATAATATTAGAACATGTCGTTGCTTATTGGATGGAGTAAATATGATATGTACACAAAGGTGTATGTTTGCATTTAAAAAGGTAAATAGTCCTAATATAGATGTGTGTGTTTCAATGGTTGCCCAGACATGTGCGTGCATATCATTTTATTTACATGTCTGCACTATTTGATCATCTCAATAAGCTCCATAAGATTTGAGTAAGTTTACTTCATGAATAATTTA